TTAATAAAATTTTGAGAGAATAGCAATTGTTTTTAAGAAAAATTTGGTACAAGTGATCGTCGGGAAGAGTTAGTGATATTATTTTATTTTTAAAGTAATAGAAATTGATCTTATTAAAAAAATTTTTTTTTTAAACCCACACTAATGGGACACTATATGTCACAAATGATCTAATTAATTGATTGATGACTTGTGTTTTTTTTTTTTTTAGGTTCCATTAAGAAGCCGCACAAGCTTTAAAATTTCAGATCACTTGTTTGAGTTCATATGGCGCTAGCAGAACAAAGATAATCTTTGGAAAAATATGTTAAAATATATGAAGAATACAGGATATTTTGAGAAAGAAGATGATGAAACTGATGAAGAGAATGAGAATAAAGAGAACAATAAGGAAGTTAGAGAAAATGAAGAAAATAAAAAGGAAGATGAATATGAGGATAATGAAGAGGACGAAGAAGAAAATAATAAAGAGGATGAAGAAGAGAATGAAGAAGAGAAGAATGAAGAGGATGAAGAAGAGATAAATGAAGAGGAGAATAAAGAGAATGAAGAAATGAATGAAATTAGTAATGATGAGAATAATGAGGTTGAAAATAGAGATAAGGAAAGGGAAGATAGTAATGAAAGTAATGAAAATATGTTATCATAAAATTTTATTATTTTGAAATGATTAGAATAGAAATTTAATAATCATTCACTTACCACAAAATCAGCAGCTACCTGAAAATTGTTGTTTGGTATTCAATTTGTTCAATCCGCTATTTATTAAATAATTACTATAATTAATATTAAAAAAAACTAAATAAATAACTTCTATCCATTAAAAAATAATATAGTTATTTGAACAAAGTAATGCAGTGTATTTAATAAATTTACTGCTATAAAGCTTATTAAGATTCTTGACTAGTGATCATAATTAAACCCACCAAATAGAGTGCCAAGAAGGGTTGCCTACAAAAAAGTCCAAAATAATAATAGTATTGCGCATTAATATCATTTTAAAATCTGAAAACAAAAATCAAATTTTAGTTTATTAATTACGTATTACTTACATAAACTGCGCAATTAATGGCTTTTTTCAATTTATGTGCTAACCCAATCTTAAAAGACATTAAAAATAAATGCAACCTTTGCTGCAAAACCATTGCTCAACATAATACAATTAGGGTATGTTGGTAGATTTGTGCTTTTGATAAATTCACTTTTATAATTTGTACTTTTCCTACTAAAACGGTCATAAATTATATGTCATATTTTTATTTGAAGATATATTTCACATTCTTGAGCAAAATTTTCCACTTAATTATTCTAAGCATGTCTAATGTTGTTGTATATCATATCGGCTAATTTTATTTTTTGGGCCTTTTTTCGATAAACTGTTACACAAAAATTTGCTTCTATATGATGTTGAAAAAGTAACAAACGAAGTACTTATTACAACTAACAAAATAGCTTTTTTAACGTCTAAACTAGTTAAAAAACCAATAAAAACTAATAAAAAGAGCTATGCTAAGCCGTAGAAAGAAGTACTTTTACCTTTTGTTGAAATATTCGGGTGTTTGAGGATGGGTTGGGTATTGTTTGATGGGTTAGTAACTAACAAGGGTAAATTCGGAAGCTAATTTTCAAAAAAACGGTCTTTTTAACTTACTTTTAGCTTATAACTAAATATATGAATTTCGTAAATTTCTACATACTTAATTGCAAATGCAAGGCTAGTTAAAAAGACTGTTTTTGTGAAAATTCGCTTTGTAATAAATTTTCGAGGAAAATTTTTTGATAATCCTCGATTATGATTGGCTGATTTTGGGGTCAAAACAAATTGACTAATATGTTGACATCTATTTGAAGTTTCTGAAGTAGGGTTTCATGGATGATATTTATTGAATAACTTTATATAAATCTCTTTGGCATATGAATCTTTGAGCAGAATTTATTATATTGCCCAGTAGTCTTTCTACTTTATTTTGGATTTCTTATACTTTTTGTTGATTCTTAACATCTCGTATTGTTTCTGGTGCTATATGCTTGAAATTCCATACATTCTTCCTTAAACTATTTAAACTATGCTTGCTGATATCAAAAGTTCTAAATCTGAAATCATTGCAATATATAAACTTTTTGTAAATGGCAGTTTTAACACTTCCTATAAAATTATCTGCCTCAGCTGAATTCAAATAACTAATAAATGCTCTATGCTTATCGAATTCAACTCTAACTCCTAAATAAGAACAATGTCTTGAACTTGGGATGAGTAAAACACTGATCTCTTAATCCTGGCTAAAACATTTTAGTTTCAATGGTGTTTTAACACTTCCTATAGAATTACATATCTCAGCTGACTTCAAATATTGTATAATATTCTTTACTTATTAAATTCAACTCTAATTCCTAAATAATAACAATAAGATCTCAGACATTAGTAAAAACTTGGTCTCTTAATTAGGACTGAAATTCTCTACTACTTGCTAACCTGACCGGGACTGTCTCTTTAGTTTTTAATTCTAACTTTTCTCTTAATTTTTGTAATGCTTTCATTTGTTTGTCTTTTAGTTAGCACCTTTGGTTTGTATTGAATTAGGTTTCTTTGATTCTAGAACATATTAGTATTCAAAATAATGTTTTTTTTAATGTGTGTAATATACTATAATTTGAGTTAGATAACACAATAGAATATATCTGATCCCGTTATACAATCAGGTTGCATAACTCAATGATGTTAATGACGTGACTGATTCTACCTACTAATTTCTCAGCATAATTTCCAGAAACAGCAGGGTAAGCTATACTATATTTTATCCTCTTTTAATATAGCTTTAATTATAATATATTTTGATAATTACATCAATATTTTTATAAGTTATTAAGTTATGATTCAGAACTACTTTATTCTCAGATGCAAGCTATCAAATATATTCTAATTCTATACTATTATTATATATTAGATTTTCTATACTAGAAAATATAATTGTCTATAATCTATTTATTGTATTTATTGAATCTCTCATACCTATCTGAAGTAACTTCCAAGCAGATAGGTCACTAAGGGATGTAGACTTCATACTCCTTACAGTATACTTTCTAACTTGATGATAGCTTTTTATTGTTTTCTGCTAGTATTGAGTCTATACTTTACAGTCATACTATCCTTCTACTAAACATCTCCTTGTATTGCTAAACTACTATACTGGTATTTGTTAGAGAGTATTAATTTGTTAAACTAGAATTAGTATGCTGTGTCATCTATATCTTTATATAGAGACTTCTGTGTATTGGTTAGATTCAGACTATATTGCATAACCAAATTACTTCCAACTAGATTTGTAATATGTAATATCACTTCTAGCTGTTATCTAAATTGGTTAGTGTTTAATATTGATATGCCTTTGTATTGCAGTTATATCCTGTTCATATTACTACTACCAGCCTGTGCTTCCAGCCCACCTCAAGTTTTTATATGCCTCTGTATATTGATTTAACTCTATACAGATAAAACCTTCAATTTTAGTCTTTGTATAGTGGCAGAGGTGCTTCTAATTTTCAGTAAAGCCAATTCTTTGCTACAGATCATCCTTCTATTCACTGCTTCTCTCATCACTTCAGTTTTGGTAATGTTGTATTATTCTTCTAAGCAAGTATTAAACACTATAATTCCAAATCGAGACTTATATATACAATCTGATAATCACTCTCTCAAGCAAGTATCTTACAAATTAGGTGTAAGATGTTGGTGTTGTATTAAATGGTGATAAAAGGATGTTATTGCTGCTTGTAATTATGAGGACTTACTCATGCAATTATTTCACTTTTTAAATCTTCTGTAATGCCGCTGTTGCATATAGTGCCTACATTTTATGATTATATCTTCTTCTGAGAATTTCTATTGTAAAACCATACTTTATCTTGAACTTTTTACAAGCTTCAGATTATGGTTATATAAGCCATATAAAAATTTTTAGTTATTATATTCCGATTTTAATTAGGTATTTTAGTAATATTCTGATTATATTCCAATTAAGGATCTTAAAATATTGTATAAATTTTTGTT